GTAGTAGTAGTAGTAGTAGTATTGCGAGTATTGTTGTTATTGTTATTTTAACTGTCATTCTCATTCTTATTCTTCTTGCTAGTATTACCGAAATCGCGGCTAAGGCTTGAAGCTCTAAGATTAAATACCTCGAGCCGGGCATACACATATTTCTCAGCTGACAAGTCTCCTTGGAATACGTTGGAAGAGATGTGTGTGGGTACACATACTCATTTGCAGAGATATTATATATATATATATAATATATATATGCATATATGTATATATGTATGTATATATATATATATGTGTGTGTGTATGTATTTGTAGGTGATATCTATATATATATATATGTACACACACATACATACATACATACATACATACATACACACAGACACATGCTTGCACACTTTGCATACATGATCAAATTTTGGCTGGCCCTGGGCGGAGCGCAGCTCTTGCGAGTCGTGCCCAACAAATGGCAGGGCTTAGGGTTTCGGGTTAGGGCCTGATTCGGAATCTCCCCCTCGCAGAAGACATCTAAGTCATTTGGTTGCCGGTCCATGTGCCAACAGTACCAGTAGACTCGCCAGAAAATCCTTATCAAGAGCCGGGGGGGGGTTGACCAACTCGGCATGTACATTGATTTTCTCCATCCACTGTTCCTACTCCAGTGCAGTGGGACCAAAACAGGCAGGGGAGACCATAGGCAGCAAGCGTTTAAAATGCCGCTCCTCGAGTGTACCTCAACAATGCTTTGTTACCAAATGTCACCAATCCCGAACTCGCGGGGCAAAAAAGAAACGCCAAGAAATCCGTCCATCCTGAAAGCTTGGTTAGGCCGAGTTGCACTGCGCCGGTGCTGCCTCGGATGCGGCCGCCGCTCGGAAGCTAAGGAGTCTTTGAGGGTTTAGGCCTTGGGTCTTCGGGGCGTTGTCAGGTTCAGGCTCGGGGCTTCGAGGTTTTTTGAAGTTTAGGCATGCTTAGGCTTTGGGTTGGGAGTGTGGGGTTTAGGCGTAGGGGTTCAGGGTGTTTTTGAGGTTTCTTGGTGCGTTTTCGGTGAAAACCTCGCCCTGATAAGCCGGCAACACCTCAGGAGGCCTGGCTGCAAAAGGCTTTTGAGGTTTCTACTTTCGGTTTGGGGTCTGGGGTTGAGGGTGTAATTAATGCTGCTGCGATCCTAAATCACGAGTCATGCCATCACAGCCCTTTGCACAGCTATCTCGGAGCAGTTTCATCGAGAAATCGGCTTGTCGGATGGGCCGTTCTGCCAATTGTCAGCCTGTCCTAGGTAACCCTAATTTTTTGAACTCCTGCTTCAGGTCGGCGATTCTACAGAGCCGCCGCTTGCCAAGATACGTGCCGAAGTGAGATGTCGTTTGTGGCAGGGGCGCGATGCTAAAGAAGCCATGTCTTTGCCGAGATACATCGCCTCGAGCCTTGACGAACCTTCAAGCCTGCCAAATCCAAGAAAATCCGTCACAGCTAATGATGCTTCCGGGATAAGGCGGAAGCTGGATGAAGCCACACGTGCCCTGCCTGAACTTGGTGTGGTGAAGACCAACAAGATTTGTTCGCAACATGGCAGCTGTCATCCTTGGCATGACCACTTTGTTACTATTGCTGTTGGTGCTACTGCTACGTCTGCGAAGTGTGCCACTGCTGCTGCTGCTGCTGCTGCTGCTGCTACCGCTACTACTAGTCCTCCTCCTCCTCCTCCCCCCTCGCAATGCAGGAGGCACAAACAACCTGGAAACCCTTGAAACCTGAACCTCCTCAATCCTCAAGCCCCAAACCCTAAAACCTCAACATACAGCCCTAAACTTTGAAAGCCCTGAAACCCTACACCCTAAAGCCGGAATGCCCTGAACCCTAAACAGCCCAAAAGCCCTCCCTAGCCTGGAGGCCGCCAGCTCCTGGAAACGCTCCAAGAAGCACCTTGGGCGAAGCACCGTCCTGGGCTCCTGAGCGATTCGGGGCCGCTGAAGGGCTGCCGGGGCACCCAGAAGGGTTTTCGGATTCAGGGGGCGATAAAGGGGCTACTATGAGTGTCGAGGGTATGGGGTGCTATGAGGGGCTTCAGGGCTCTTGGGCTTCTGCCGCCGGCGCGGTCTTTAAGTTTAGGACTCGGCGGGATTCTGGTGTTTTTGGTTGGGGGGGGGGGGAGAGACACGGTTTGCGCAGGTTTTCAGAGTGGTGGCCCAAGGGTGCAGGCTTTGCTTGTTTATCTGTGCTGCAAGCTCTCCACAGCCACAGGCAGCTGCCATGCCAGATGCCCCTTGTCCCTTATTCCCTCCTCTACATATGAGGTTTTGCCAGTGCGGTCCTGCGAATTTGAACGTGCAAATGGGGCTTCGCGGTTCGGCGCCGTAGCATCAGGGATGTGTGGGTTGTTTTTCAAAGCGCCCGCAGATACCGCAGCCAGAATAGTCATAGTCGCCTTGAGCCATTACAGGAAAGCATGGCACTTATAGCCCCAAGTAGTAAATCTGGAGCATTGAGACCAGTGCTCACATGGGCAGGCTCCTATTATGCCACTTGGCGGCACGTTTTCGGGCCGGCTAGAGAGAAAGTCTCGGGGGGTTTTAGTCATTAGTAGTGCTTTGAGATTTGTCGGAGAGTCCTATAGACTCATTCTTGGAACAAGTCCTGCTCCTACGACTAGTTTTTGGCTATACCATGCTCTTCGGATTTGGGTCAAGTTTGGGTTTGGTGGCAAAGGCCTGCCTGCAGATGTGCAGAGCAGCATGAGGTGCAGAAAGGTACAGAACAAATCCAGTTTCAGATACAACTGGCTATCAAAAGTTCAGGGTTGGCAACCACCAGCCAACCACGACACCAGCAGGGGTGGGGAGGGGGGGGGGGGGGTCCTCGTGGCAAGAGCAACCTGCCCTACTTTGCGAGTAGTTGAGTACCAAATCAAAAGTCAAATCCGATGAGAGCCTGATGCGTTTCCCCAGCTCCGGCGTCCTAGCCAACCCACCCGCGGCCTCTAACCGTGAAGTGCAAATCCGTGAAGCAGAAGCGGTCCAGGACTTGCTCGCTTTGCGCGTGCGACTGGCACGTGGCGAGGGCATCATGGGAAGTGACGAGGTGGGACGAGGGCGCAATGTTGTCTTTCTGCTGAATAATGTTGTTCTCATCGTTGTGCTGCCGGCCGTAGTGAGTGATGGTGGTCGTGGTGGTTGTTGCTGTTGTCCCGACCAGGCGCACCTAGCGCGCAAAACCGACATGACATGTCGGTTAGATCGATACTTTTGTGAAAAGCGTGGAT